GAGGATTCAGTGAAATAGTACAGAGCACGATCTAGAACACTGTCACAGAGTGAAGCACTCCCCAACTGTTAGCAATTACCATTTACCGAGCGCCTAGAAGGTGCTGGCATTAGGGTGTCTTTGAAGTGGGCCACAGACAACTCGTAAATGGCAGGCAAAGGAGACGCTATCGTGACTTACCCAAGGTGGAGAAACTCTCTCCAAGGATCTCTGAAAATGGAAGAGAGAAGAATTTCTCAGCCTGCTTGTCGAACGAATAAAAGGTGGACGTTTTAGAATCCGCGGTGAGCTTGGCACCCACGTGACCATGAGCTTGGTGCAGCTCATGAACCTGTGAGTCCTGCCCGCCCCAGCCCAGCCTGGCTACCAGCAGTGAGTGTCTGCTGAGTCCACCCTGACCCAACCCCAGGAGACGTCGGCCTGGAGAAACACTGGAGCCCAGGGCTGGGGGAGGGAACCATAGGACAGTCTGTGGCCAGGGTCACATGGCTGTGCCCCGCCATATCCCAGCACCGCAGCAGGTGTCAGGCTCCACCTTCCCTGCCCACTCTCACCAGAACTGAACATGCAGAGCGGGCTTGGGGCGGCCCAGGTCCCGTCTTCCTGTCTAATTTCCTGCTGCATCCCTAACTTTCCATTCTGAAGTCTCACCTGGAGGGACCTCGCCGGTCTCGCAAAATGCTGACCATTCCTGAGTGCTGCACCTCGAGCCTCTGCTAGTCTCCTGCACGATAGGGAGCTCCCTTCACCCAGGTAGCTCAGCCCACCATCCCATCTTTAATCATCACCAGACCCCTCTTATACTACAAGGACAGCCCACCCACGGTGTGCCTGAGGGGCACGCTTCACAGAAAGTGGCAGTCTTCTGGTTTCAACCTCAGTGATTTGTTTTTGCCTGATTTTCAAGAATGCTGGGGAGGAAAATATCTTCTTATAGGAAAAGAAGATTTTCAGACACATCAGAAGAAATGACCCCATCACTTGAAGGGAGAGACGTGGAGGTGGTAGAAGCAGCACAGGACTTGTGGGCAGAAAGACTTGAGTTTGGATTCACTCGGTAGGAGGTCAGCCTTGGACTCAGCCTTTGAGACTCAGCTTCTCCATGTGTCAAATGAAGTAGTTATAAAGATGAAATGAGACCACACGTGTAACGAACGTGTAATGGGACTAGACTATGGAAGGCATTTAGCATTATTATTATGATTGTTGTTGTTGTTCCTGTTACATTTTGCCTGGCCAGCCCCTCTGACTCTCCCTTTTTGAATCTCATGACTGCTTACGCCCTTAATCTTTTTGCTATGCCATTTTCCCTAAAAGCTGCTATAATGGGGGGAAAACTTTCTCTCTCTGGAATATGGGGTGATATCCCAATAATGTCTGGCCCAGCGTGGGTATGGAATAAAGGTTTTGAAAATGAAATCAACAGCATAATCATATATATATATGAATTATGATATATAATTAATTATATATAATATTACCAGGTGCCAGGTACCGTGCTAATTGCTTTGCATACATTATTTTCATGTAACCCTCTCCGTCTTACATGAGTTAATTATTAGCATATTCCCCATTTTACAGACGAGGAAAATTAGGTACTGGGTTAACCTGCCCAAAGTTACATAACCAGTAAGATGCGGGGGGAGGGATTTGAACCTAGATGATCTGACTTTGTTAATTGCCCTTTTGACCACCACCACATGGCCTCATGAATATATAATTTTCAGTGCAAATGTAGGAGTGGGAAAACAACCTCACTGATGTTTAATCTGACATTGTTAGAGTTGAGTCATCAATTATGTGTGATGGGATAAAAATGAATAATACATTCCAGAAGTTATGTGGGGACAGCTGTAAGAAAGACGGGCATTGCAGCAAGACTATTCCTGGTTCTAAGTGAGACCAAGAAGCAAACCGGGAAGGGCTGCAACAGAAGATGAAATTATAGAGGGTTCCCAGTGAGGCTTCTGACCCCACCACTCAGTAAGCTGGGGACACCATTATTTCCTGCCCCCAGTGAGCAATGTTTTGCAGTCCCTGGAAGTAGAGAACTAAAATCCTTTTTCCAAATCACTGGAGATCTAACTGGAAGCAGATAACAGGGCTCCGGTTACTCGCTCATTTTACACATGAGAAAACCTGAGGCCCAGGGAAGTGAAACAGCTTGTCTGAGGTCCCACAGTAGATAAGAGGAAGCCATGTGTTAGTGATCAACCTCATTCATTCATTCATTCAACAGACACTTAATGAACACCGACTGTCTGAAATTGACCAGGAGGCAAGCACCCTGTTCTCCATGACTCAACAATCCAGACCGGCGACGCCCCACAGAGATGTAATGCAAGCCACACTTGTACTTTACAGTGTCCTAGCAGCCACATCAAAAGAGTAAAAAGGGGCTTCCCTGGTGGCGCAGTGGTTGGGAGTCTGCCTGCCGATGCAGGGGACACGGGTTCGTGCCCCGGTCCGGGAAGATCCCACGTGCCGCGGAGCGGCTGGGCCCATGAGCTATGGCCGCTGAGCCTGCGCGTCCAGAGCCTGTGCTCCGCAACGGGAGAGGCCACAACAGTGAGAGGCCCGCGTACCGCAAAAAAAAAAAAAAAAAAAAGAGTAAAAAGGAACAGGTGAAATCAACAATTTATTTAACTCAGTAGGTCCAAAACATAATTGTTGTAATTAATATCTGACAAATATTAACGAGGGATTTTCCTTTTTGAGGGTACCAAGTCTTTGAAATTCAGTGTGTATTTTACACTTACAGCACATCTCACTTTGGACTGACTACAGTGAGCTTCTAAAATACAGCCCGGTCATTTATGGTGCCTAATAGGGATTGACCAGATAGCAAGTGAGGACTCTTCTCTAATTCATGGTCTAGGACAAGCGTGATCTGAATTAGCAAAATCTGAATTAAAGACAACATTTGATAACATTCAGTAGAATTACTTTGAAAAATAGAGTAAACGCAAAAGAGTGCTTGCTTTAGATAAGATTTCCTGATTAAAAATTCATTGGCACACGCTACGTTAAACTCTTTAAAAACTAATTAATTTTCTTAAGATTAAACAAACCTTCAATCATGTCTCCGGCACTAATTTGCTCAACAGAAAACTCCCTTAACAAATAATGGACAGTTGGGCGGCAGTGGTACCTGTGCTGAACAGGTAAGTGCAGCAATGAAGGAGTTGGGAGACATTCATTAAAAGCTTTAATCAAGCACCTTCTGTATGCCAGACATGGCCCTCAGCCCTGAGGCTACAGAGGTGAATGAGGATGGGTCATGCTCTGGAAGAGTTTGCACCGTAGCTGGCAAGATGGGCAATGATGTGCAAAGCTCTATGGGAACATAGGAGGGAAAAGATAAGTTCTGCCTCAGAGACAGGAATTGAGCGACCACAAAGTGTTTAACAGGTGGAGACCAGGAACCTTGGCAGAGGGAGTGAGAACACTGTCACGAGTGTTTGGAGAACTGTGGGCAAGGAGACTGGATGCCCGGGGTGGGGTGGAGAAGGTGGAAAGGATGCTGGGGAAAGGGGCTGGAGCTGGGATGGAGAAATGCCTTGAAGGCCAGGCTACGGCATTTGGATTCGGAGCCATAACTGTAGTTACAGGGTTGCACACAGCAGGGCTTCAGTCAATGATGGATGAACAAATGGGTTGATAAATGATTGTAGGAAATGAACAGAAGTCTTAAAAGGCGGTGGGGTGGGTATTGAAGCCGGGAAGCCAGTGAGGTTGAGGGGCAGCTGTCCAGCTGAGAGGCGGGTAATGAGACTTGGACCAAGTGCTGACAGCAGATGGGAGATGAAGCACAGATGTTTTCAAAGGACCCGGAGGAAGAAAATCCAGAGTTGGTGAAATTGCTGTAGGGAGTCACCCTTCACTTGGCTAAAGCCAATATGCGATGCTGATGTGCTAGAGGCTGAAAGTCCCAGTTAAAAGAGAAGAGGCTCACGAAGCCAGAATGTCTAAGAGCCCCGTGGAAGGAAGACGCTGAACCTGGGATTTACAAAGCATTCCTTTTCGAGGGCAGGCTGATGACACTTCTGTGCCAGCTCCTCATTTTTTCCCCTTATTTTACAATTTTTTCAATAGAGAGGTCATTCATTTGGTAAGACATGCAAAACACCTGCCGACTCAAGTGGCTGGGAGGATACAGGGAAACAGGAGCCCCGGCCCACTGCTGGTGGGTGTCTCGACACACAGACTGTAGGGAAACTCTTGCACTCGTGCATCTGGAGGTGGACATGCACCAGAATGTTCAAATCAGTGCTGTTTCTAATGATGCCAAATTGGAAGCAACCCATGTTTCTATCTATAGAGACATGGATAAATAAAATGTGGTACGGTCATATAAAGGATAACGATACAGTAATTAAACTAAGAGATCCATGGGGCTGAACCTCAAAACACAAGGTTGAGTGGAACGGGCAAACTGAAGAATAATATATCCAGGATGACAGTACCTATATGAACTGTGGACACACACAGCTATACTATATATCGTATACGGCTACACACAGTAGAAGTTAAAGTGTGAAAACACAGACTGGGATTTACATAGTATATTCATAATAGGAGGCTGAGAGGAGGGAGATGAAGAGGAGGTTCAAAAGAGACTTCTATGTTGATGACGATTTATCCCTATTATATGGCAGACCTATAAAAGAGCTGAAGCAAAGACGCCAGAATGTTATATTCATTAACTGGGGATGGTGAGTAAAAGAGTGTTTATTATATCATTTGCTTTATCTTCAAAGATTTTCCAAATTGAGAGAAAGAAAAGAAAGAAAGGGAGAGGGAGAGGGAGAGAGGGAAGGAGAAAAAAGGTAGAGTGGGTGGGAACCAAGCAGGAGACTTGAGAAACTATTCTGTGAGTCCCACCAACTAGGGTCTTCACACAGCAGAGGGGGTGCAGATGGTGATTTAACATACCTAGAGGTTCCCCTGGGGTCTATGTTTTGTGTACACTCAGAATGCCTGCTCTGGCAAAGGAAAAATAAACTCCTTTCCCACGTGTCCCTTTCTCAGCCCTGCACCACTGCCAAAATAGGGTGGGGGGGGTCACATCATTTATTTACACAAGGTCCTCGGTACATGTACACCTCCACTAATGTTATTCATCCCGTCAGCTCCTCCCAGGCTGTCCCACTGTTCCCAGCAGTCCAGGAACATGACTTCACAGCCAAGTGTCACATGCAAGTCACCCCTGTATGTGGCAACACCGGGTGTGCACAAGAAAGGAGAACTGTGACGGGACACACGAGGGCTGCTTTGCACAGCGGATGCCTTCCCCCACTTCCGGCCAAGTGCCGTGGGGGAAAAGAACTTTTAAAATGATTTAATAGTAAGGTAAAGCACAGGAGGGGCAGAATGGAGCGCAAGGAAGCATTCTTGTCACTAGTTCCGAAAAAAGACTGAAGTAGCTGCCTGGCGCTCCCTTTTCTGCCAGCAAGGGTGCCTTAGTCTCTTTTATGTCTCCAGGGCTCTGCAGAGTAGGTGCTCAGGAAACGCTTGCTCGAGAAGTGGAACTACATGGCCACACACACGCACATGCACATGCACATACGTGTGTTTGAGAACTATGTTCCTGTTTTCTTGAGTCTTATCTCTCTTAATGGGGCAATGTCACCTAATGATTCACGATGTTGATTCTGGAACAAAACTGCCTGGGTTCTGGGAGCAGACATGGCGCCTCTCTTTGCTCAGTACCTTCACCTCATAGCATCTTGAAGAGTTGAGCCCTTAGCACAGCAAGACAAGGCCCTCAGCACAGGAGCTGGTACATAAGAAGCTCTCACTAACCGTTAGCAATTTTCACTAGTTAGTCCTCACGGCAAACCAGGTGGACAGGCAATACCATGTCCCTTTTACAGATGGGCAAACTGAGGTTCAAAGCAGTCCTGTTACCTGCTCAAGGTTACACAATTTACTGGTAAGTGACAATGCCAGGATCTGAGGGCAGCTCATCTATCTCCAAAGAACTCCCCATACCCTTCGCTGTTGCAATTTCCCAAGAGCTGATTCAAGGACCAACGATTTCCACAATCTTCTCTGGCTGCTTTGTCTCCCACCCAACAAAGGGTCTGGTGGGAACTCTCTCAGCCAAGCGGAAGCTCCCGACTTCTGCGGCGCGGGGGCCTGGAATCTGACTCAGGCCCGGGGAACTCTAATTCCCACATCAAAGCTGAGACCTGAAAAATCGTTCTAAGTGCACATAGAGGGCAGAAAGTTCTGAGGCAAAGGGAAGATACCAATGGGCTTTCATCACTCCCCACTCACCCCAGGACTGATGCCGGAGATGAAGGCTTTGGTGACATCTCAGTCTTTTTATCCCAGGAGTTCAAAGAACCTCACACCCATTCTGCCACATTCAGGCTTCATTTTGTCAAAGTAAACATGATCCCAGGTAGAACACTGGCTGGCGACTCTGGTGAAGGCACATCCTACATCACATTCATTCCCTCCACCACGGCGGCATCAGGACAGGGGCTTGTGCTTGGAAATGACCACCAAAAACAGACTCACAAAGTACCTGTGAATGGCGTCCTGGCTACCAGGTATAGCTCTGATCTCTCAGAGCCTGGGGCAGTACCTGGCACAGAATAAGTGTGTGATGAGTGCTGAATAAGAGGAAAGGGGATCTAACCAGTGGATTCTCACTGGGTCTTCACAGCAGCCTCGGGAAGTAGGGGGTTATCATCTGTATTTTACAGGTTTAGGAAACTGAGATCCGGGGAGGGTTAGAGGCTTGTCAGAGCCTCGCGGCTGCTGCGTGGGTGCAGAGATGAGCTTGAACACAGGGCTGACAGGTCTTTAGATTTTGAGCTGTGTCATGTCCTTGATACTACACCAGCGTCTACATAATACACGGCAAAGCTTTCTGACAAATAGATATGCCAGTTAAACCCGGGCAATATGGTAAATGTGGCATAGCCACCCAGGGCCAAATCCAATCAGCTGCCCCTTTTCTTTGGTCCTAGGGCTAAGAATGATTTTCATATTTTAAATGATTACACTTACATGGTTATATAAGTTCCCACACAATAGCCTCAATTTTGCCTCTTGGCCCACAGAGCCTACAATGTTTACTATCTGGACCTTTAAGAAAATGTCTCCAGACCCCTGATATAAACCACATCTTATTTTATTTGAGGTCCCAGAGCCTAGGGGTGTGCCTGGGGCCAGAGCCAGAGACGTCCTCTCTAGACCCAGGCCTTGCTATCCCTCCAAGGTCAGCTCTCACCACAACACACTAGGCTCTGCCTGCCGAACTCCTCATCCGCAGTATCAGCGGAGTTGCCCCTTCCTCCAGGAAGCCCTCTTTGATTCCTAGAGACCAAATAAGCGGCCTTATTCTGTGCCACCATTTTTTCCCCAGCCCTCTGTAACCCACACATGCTGGCACGTGGCATACTGCATTAGCACTGCCACTTTCTCGTCTCCCACGCCCTGAGCCCCAGACTCTACAAGGGCAGGCGCCGTTCTGTCAGGGGCAAGAAACAGTGCCATTTAGGTGATCACACATCCCGGTTTGCCTGGGATGGCCCCAGCTCAGGCCTGTTGACCTGTATAAGTATTAATGATGCCCCTTTCATTCTCACAAGCATCCCAGTTTGGAGGATAAATCACATTGCCATCCTATGTGTACAGCTTTGGGTTCAAGTCAGAGTTCTTCCACTTTCTAGCAGTGTGGCAATGGATAAATGACTTAACTTCTCTGTGTCTCAATTTCCTCCTCTGTAAAACGGAAATAATAATAGGGCTTACATCATAGGTTTGTTGTGAGGATTCAATGAGCTAATATACGTAAAACACTTAGAACAGTCCCTGACAAACTGCAGGTACCACATAAGGAGGAGCTGTTGTCATTGGTCACACTGAATCCCCGATGAGTAACACACGTCTTGTCCTGGCAGACTGTCACACACACTGCCTGGATGAAGAACGCCTGACCTCAGAGGTGGGGCAAAGCCAACCCCAAGGTCCAGCTTCACAGAGCTGCTCAGGGAGCATTCAGGCCAACAGACTCACCCTCCGGCTTCCCACTCCAAGGACCAAGGAGGGTGTAACTCCATCAGTCATTCCTGGTCCCCTCTGACCTTTCTAGATGTAGGCACTGCTTTCCGCTTGATTAAAGTCCTCCCGGACTATTGTCTGTACATTTCTATGCCTCTATCGTAAGTGTGCCCACAGAAAATATACTGCAATTGTCTTATGGTATATGGTATTGGACTGAAAGAACTTTTTAGCTACTTGCTTTTTTTCTTCAACAGTAGGATACGACATTTATTAGATTAGATCTACCTTGTTCTTCCTAACTGTTGCATCGCAGTTCATAGTTTGCATAGAACACAGTTTATCTAGCCATCTGAACAATCCCCTGTTATAAATGGTGCCTAGGACCACAATGAATATCTTGGTGAGGCCTCTTTATGCTTGGGGAAATTTTCCAAGATACTCCTCTCTCTTTTTTGTTTTTTTTTTTTTTTGCGGTACGCAGGCCTCTCACTGTTGTGGCCTCTCCCGTTGCGGAGCACAGGCTCCGGACGCGCAGGCTCAGCGGCCATGGCTCACGGGCCCAGCCGCTCCGCGGCATGTGGGATCTTCCCGGACCGGGGCACAAACCCGCGTCCCCTGCATCGATCGGCAGGCGGACTCCCAACCACTGCGCCACCCGGGAAGCCCACTCCTCTCTCCTTTAAAGCAGGCTGTTTCTCACTGTTTGCTCCATGACTGGCCAGAAGACGGCTTTGGATGTTGGCTTTAATACTTCCCTTTTTCACAAGTTAAAAGTCAACTTTTATTCCTAAGAGGAAACAATAGTGAAGATAACATAAAAAAAAAAGTAACAATAGTTTTAGCTAATTGAAAAGAAAACTACAAATAAAGTGATTCAACCCTCAGAATGCACAAAAGATGCGACTAGAAAGGAACGTCTCGATTTTCAAGGCCCCCCCATACATAATCTCTGGAACACCAACTCCCCTTGAATAGAAAGCTATTAACCGATTCTCACCTTATTTATAGGCACCGTGTTATTTTAACGAAAACTAAATCTTGCTTGCTCTTTCTTTCCAGTCCTTTCTCTGCTCAATTGATTTCCTGTGGCTACAGGGGAATCATTTATATTTAAATCTTCACCTGAGTCCCCCAAGAGTTTGAGCCCACCTGAATGGGGAGATAATCGCTCTTAGCCAAATTGAAAATGCTCTCGAGAACTTCCGGAGGACTCATCCAGCTTCCCACACGGAATCTATCCAGGTGTGACCTCAATTGTGATTTCTGCACAGTGGTATTAAATCAAAAATATACGGTAAGATTTTGTGAAAGTGGTATGTATGGGGGTGGAGGGGGATGGTAAAGAGAGGTGGAGAGAGAGACCTTCTCAGGAGAGAGGGCTGGGAAAGCCCGTGCAGGGGCAGAGCTGGGGGCAGGGACACAACTGGACACAGATGGCGCCTCTGCTGGCCTCTGTCTTCCCGATGACGGTCTTCTGGGGCTTTGCCTCTCCCAGGGTGGCTCAAACCTCTCCGCCATGTTAAAGACTGGGTGTCTCCCCCGCCCACTCCAGCCTTGGGATGTCTCGGGCGCTGATGTTAGACAGCACTTATCACAGTGCCAAGCACTGAGAAGCATATCAAATAAATATAGTTACTGTTATTCATCATGTAATCAGAGCGAGTGCTCCAGAAAAGGCTGTTAAATGAATCATGAACGGACTAGGCTCACTTAGCTTCCTGGGGGTGAGTGTTGCCCCAGTCTGAACCAGGACACAGCACACAGACGAGGCTCTCACGGGGCTGCTCGACATCGGCTAGGACAGTCACCGGCCCCGCCTTCAGAAGCAGACGAAGCTTCCGCTGTGATGCTAGCTGAAGGAAGCATGTTTGCTGTAGGGGGCAGCAACTGATGTACGGCCCTGAGTTTGCAGGTTGGGGCCCCATCAAGGACCAGGACGAGAGCGCCAGCAATTTCTCCGAACCCGCTTTTCTAACAGCAAACCGTTTCATCCACAGTTAAAGCCCAGCAGGATGAGTCACCCGAACGCTTGCATCTCATTTGCAAAATGGAAGGATGGGAGCCACGGGTCTCTGAGGTTCCCTTGTGCTGTGACAGTCTTAAAGCCACACAGGGTCCCCAGTTTACAGACACGGAGATAACCACACACCTTTGCGTTTTCCGAGAATTATGAGGATGCCATGCTGCGAAGTGACACACAGAAAACATGACCACACTGTTGCCAAACTCAAGTGTGAACTCCTGCCCCTCTACATACTGGCTGCGAGCAGGAAATACAGAACGACAGCCCCACCTCCTACCCACCAGCAATAAACAGGAGGAAATGTGGTTGCAGTGTGATGACAGTGGCTCGTGGACCAGAAGACTGCGTCTGAGTTATTTCTCAATCTCAAATCTAAAGCTGTGAAGAACATTTTTCTTGGGTGCTGTCTGGAATATGACAGTTCTGGGCAGAAAAGTCCATTTCCTTGAAAGGAATTTTGTGCTCAGCTGACCTTGGTATCCATCCTCCCATCTCACCTCACAGCATCTGTCCACTTCCAGAAGTTGTCTAAAGACCACCCTGGGATCAAAGCCTTGCCCCTGCTTTCTAGCTGCGACTGTGGGTGAGTTCTGAAGCTCTTTGGCCTCAGCTTCTTCATCTGTAAAATGGGGATCTCACAGCATCTACTTAATGGGATGGCTGGAGGGTAAAATGAGATAATCCAAGTAAAGCATTTGGCATAGTGTGGTACACAGTAAGTGCCCAATAAATGCAAGCCATTATTATGAGTCACGATTACTGCTGTGCTATCCAGGATTTATACACATTTACTTAGTACCTCTAATGTGCAAGGTGCTTTTGAGAATTCAGTCGGCAACCATTGGCTTGAACACCCGAGTGAGAAGATGACAAGTCATAAAACACTTGGTGCGAAAATGATGGCCCCAGAAGTGCTGGTGACTGGCCTGGGCCCTGCTGGCTTCCCAATGCAACTCCTGAACCCTAGGCTCTATCACAACCCCTCTTGGTACCTGGCAACATCCAGAGAGGTTGCTGCATCAACTGTAGGTTTGTGGCATCCATATATGAGAAGGACCGCGTGCCTTGTAAGCTGGGACCTACGCACAAACCAGTCTCAATCCAACCCTACAGACGGACAGAGGGAAACCAATTCACAATAGAAAGCCTTAAAATGTAGTAATCTCCACAACTGCAAGCCTTGTCCAGAGCCTAAAATTCTAAATCAAGAGCCCATAGAGTCAGACAAAGACAAATATCATATGATATCACTTTTATGTGGAATCTAAAAAAATAGTACAAATGAAATTATTTACAAAATAGAAACAGAGACACAGAAGTAGAAAGCAGGGCTTCCCTGGTGGTGCAGTGGTTGAGAGTCCGCCTGCCGATGCAGGGGACACGGGTTTGTGCCCCCGTCCGGGAAGATCCCACATGCTGAGGAGCGGCTGGACCCGTGAGCCATGGCCGCTGAGTCTGCGTGTCCGGAGCCTGTGCTCCACAACGGGAGAGGCCACGACAGTGAGAGGCCCGCATACGGCAAAAAAAAAAAGAAGTAGAAAACAAACTTATGGTTACCAAGAGGGAAAGCGGGGAGGGATAAATTGGGAGACTGGAATTGACATACACCCACTACTATATATAAAATAGATAACAGGGCTTCCCTGGTGGCGCAGTGGTTGAGAGTCTGCCTGCCGATGCAGGGGACACGGGTTCGTGCCCTGGTCCGGGAGGATCCCACATGCCGTGGAGCGGCTGGGCCCGTAAGCCATGGCCGCTGAGCCTGCGCGTCCAGAGCCTGTGCTCCGCAACAGGAGAGGCCGCAACAGGAGAGGCCACAACAGTGAGAGGCCCGCGTACCGCAAAAAAAAAAAAAAAAAAAAAAGCTACTGTATAGCACAGGGAACTCTACTCAGTGCTCTATAATGACCCATATGGGAAAAGAATCTAAAAAAGAGTGCATATATGTATATGTATTACTGATTCACTTTGCTGTACAGCAGAAACTAACACAACAGTGTAAATCAACTATACTCCAATAAAAATTAAAAAAAAAAAAAAGAGCCCATAGAGAATGACATATAGGAACTGAATTTGTGTGGGCCTAGTATGTACCAGAACCAAGTTTCCTATACGTTATGACAACAATCACCCATCAGCTACCTGGTCTTTAGGGTCTTCTGCACTTGGGTGAGCTAGGAAAGGCAGAGGACTATCTCTTAGAGAATGGCTGTCCCGCAGTCTGGCACCTGGGGAACGGTCAGCCAAGCCCTGGAGCGTGGTGAGACAGGTTGAGCTGCTGTTCATTTGACTTTTAGGAAAAGTCAGGTCAACCCTATGGAATTGCTGTGTAGAAATGTTTTGAATGAATTTCTGCAGCCATCAGAAAACACCAGAGCATAAGTCTGAGAAATCCTCAGATAGCACAAGAGTGAGGGCGCAAATCAATTCAGGTTGTCAGGGAATGAATACATAGACGGAGAGCAGGGTCACCACCAGGAACTGTTATTTTGATCTGACTTTGCTCTAAAGGGAAGTCTGGGTCTGATCTCTCACCCAAAATCCTGCATCAGCACAACCACAACAATGGTGCTACCTAATAGCATTTACTAAGTGCTCTTATACGCCAAGCACCCCACATACAGTTTCACATTTAATCCTCACAGGAGTCCTCCAAGCAGGTGTTCACCTACAGGACGAAACAGAGCTCAGCTAGGCTGAGAGACTTGTCTGAGGTCACACAGCAAATTAGTGTTTGAATCCCTGGTCGCTGACTCAACCTATTATGCCTTAATGATTAATGTTTAAAAATGGAAAAGGAACATTCAGATTTTATCACTGGATGAGAAATCACAGCTTAATTTTTCTCAATACAAAGCACTCTAAGTGACCTGAGACAAGCATACATATTAAGAGTCATAAGTTTTTTTATACCAAACAACCTAATTTGCTTATATATAAATATCAAGGGATGGAAAAGAAGAATTTCAAGCCAAACTGAGTAACAAGCAGGCAGATCGCACCCCAGCTCTTTCAGAGACTATATATTAGGATTTTTTTTAGGCCTTACACCTGATGCTTCTAGAACAACAAGACAGATGAGGTTCTGCAGATTTATTTCAGCATAAATTAAAGCTATGCATCTGCATGGATGAGACAGTTAAACAGCCATAAAAGCTTGGCAACCTCCAACATAAGGAAAGTAGCTTGGGAGCCGAGAGGAAAAAAGAAAAATCCACGCAGAGTTCGCTGGAGGGGTTCCAAAGTGATCACAGAGTTTACCAAGATTCTGACTTACTCTTGCATTTTAATCATAATATATTTGCAACGTGGGGGATGACAGGCAGCCTTTGGAGGGGAAGAGGTGACCCGGCTAATAATTCCTTACAGCTGTGGAGCACCAGGACTGAACAAAGGTGTCTGGCTTTTATTTTGAGCTTTCTGACGGCCCTTGCAGCTAGGGAGGGCCAGGGTTTACTGTTCTCTTTTTACAGATGACGGAATTGGGCCTGGGGAGGGAATAGGCTGTTAGCTTTGCCGTTCAAGACCAACGCTCTTTATAATGTGCCATGTTGATGCCCATCTACCCATCCACCCATTCATCCATCCATCCATTCATCCACCCATCCACCCACCCGCTCACCAGTCTATTTGTATTTCCTACCAATTCCTATTTATCCTATAATCCTTCAAGAAAGAAAGAAAACGAAGGGCTCCTTTGGAAGGGAGGCACACCCATGGGTCTGGACACAGAAAGAGTCCTTTCTTGCCAATAATGCCATCAGCTTGGGGATCTGCAGCCCTGCCCTCCCCTGGCTTCTGCTGCGTCTCCTGGCTTCTCCCTCGTTTCCACTGCTGACTGGTCTGCCAGCAGTGTCCACTTGCAGTCAAGTGCCAACCATTGTGGGAACGTTCTTTCTCCTCTCTGGCCTTCTGCTAATCCACCAGATCGGTAGGACTCCAGGCCTCTCCAGGCTGCCTCTCCAGCTTGGGTTCCACGGCTAAGAAACAGCAGCGTGATGGAACTGAATCCAGGGGTGAATATCCTATAGGAATGCATTTTCCCATAGATGTCAACGCATGCACTCACACATTCATTCACTCACTCACTTCTTCCTTCATTCGTCCAACAAATGGCTACTAAGCTTCTACTAACTGTCCACCAATGTGCCAAGGGATACAGCAATGAAAAAGATTCAAATGTCAAATAAAACCATTCAAATAATAATTTAAAAAAATGTTCCCTTGGGGGTGGGGTGGTGATAGTGCGGTGTCAGCACATCAAGGATGGACCCCACCGAAGTGATAAGGTCTGGGGTAGGTGGCAGGAGAATCTCACAGTATCTTACCATTTCCTGAGGAAAATGAGTCCGGGCCACATGTTCTGAATGACTGACTTTGACTCCACTGAGTTGCTCTCAGCAGTTTCATGAAAATCTCTCAGTGCAGCCACAGCTGGATTTAGTCCTCCAGCAGCCTTGAGTCCTGACAAAAACCACACATCCTCTCAAATGTGACTGGGAGTAAAAACAAGGTTACACCATAACGTCCAACCCATTTCTGATTTTCCGCATGATGACCACACTGATGATATTTTATAAATATCAAGAATTTCTCTCTCTCTCTCTTTTCTTGGGAAGTGGGGGTGCGGAACGCGTTCTCCGCTTTGCTGAAGCCTCAGTATTGGATCTGCCTGTCTGCTGAGTCATCCCTCGCCGGGCAGGGCTCCGCTTTGAGCCAGGAGGCGTCAACCCCTGCTTGATGATGCTCTGCTGTCCCCCCCACCAATCCACCTCCCTCCCTGCTTCATGACCCTCCTCTCTCCCTCTTCCACTCCCTTCTTTCCTGACAAAGGTCAGCTGCCCTTCCGAGGTACACAGCACATCCTTCAAGCGGATTCACACCTGTCCACGTAGGCAGGGAGCTTATCCCCGTTAGACCAATTTGGAGATGGAGGCACGGGGCGTGCCAGGCACTGGCCCGGTGGCGCTGGCACAGGGTTGGTGCTCGGGGACTGACCGCTGTGGCCCAGCAGCCAGCGGGTCAGGGTCAGGAGCAGCATGCACATCCAGAACCCGATTCTCTGCACTTTCGCTACATGACGCCGCTGCTGCTGGGATCACGCATCTAGGCCACCAGTCAGCTTTCGTTCCCTAACGAGGCGGCTTCACGTGAAAAACCAGAGAGCATAAGGGTTAAACTTTTAGACCATAGAGAGGCCACCATTATTAACTCTAGTCTGTCTCTGTCTCTCCCTTTCTCAAAGTCACTGTGGTGAAAAACAAGATCATAAACTCCAGAGAGATGGCAACCTTTAGTACCAAGATCTGCGCCAAGACATCACTGGGGTTTCCGACACTGGGGTAAGCAGGAGTCTACTGGAATCACTGACCCACTTGTGTCTGGTGGTCAGCGAGGGTTTCTTGTCACCAAGGACAGAACTGAAACGTATAACAAATGCTGCTGCCGTACCTTTAGGCAGGGAAAAGCCAACAGAATATTATGGACACTGCTACTTCAACCCAGACATCTCAGTCAGAGAAACACCTGTTTAGTCCTCAACATCCTCTCAGGTGACATTTCCTTCAGGAAGCTTGTCTGAGACTCTCGCTCCTTTACCCAATCCCACCCAGATGGAAACAGGTTTCCTTTCATTGCAGGACTTATCAGGACCTTTGGCACCCAAGGGTGCTCTCTGAATTACCAAGGACTATGGGAGGCAGTACTTCCCAACTCTTCCAGAAACTCTGGACAGTGGCGGGATGTCTTGCTGGGCTGGTGTGATGACTAATTTTATGTGTCAACTGGACTGGGCCACGGGGTGCCTAGACATTCAGTCAAATGTTTTTCTAGGTGTGTCCACGAGGGTGCTTCTGGAGGAGATTAACATTTGAATCAGTAACCTGACTAAAGCAGCAGATTGCCTTCCCCAATGTGGGTGGGCCTCGTTCAATCAGTTGAAGGCCTGAACAGCACAAAAAGGCTGACCCTCCCAGAAAGGATCATCAGATTTTTCTGGCCTTTCAAACTGAAACGTCTTGGCTCTCCTGGGTTTCAAGCCTGCAGATCTTGGGCCTCGTCAGCCTCCATAATCACGGGACCCAATTCCTTGTAATAGATCTCTTTCCATATGTGTACATACAGACACCCTAGTGGTTCTGTTTCTCTGGACAACCCTGAATGGTACAGCTGGTATCCTGAGCGACACTGTTCAGGAAGTGTGCCTGTATTTATAGGGCTACAGTGGATATCCTGGAAGATAGCCACAGCGCCCATAAGGAGTTGGCAAGGATTCCGGCTGCACTTCTGGAAGCTACGACTTTCCGCAGGGCGGGGCTCTGTTTCACCTTTTCTCGCTCTCTGTTGTCAAGGACGCAAGGGTGGTTTCCACAGAGATGCAAGGTGCCCGCTCCCACTATGGCAGGTGTCAGTGCCGGACGTCCCTGCAGCCGGGCTCGGCTGCCACGCTCTGGCCAAGCCACGAATCCCACTCATCGTCCACACAGGCCTGGCTTCACCATCCATGGAAACCCCCCAGGCAGGGGGGTTTGCTTTGAGGGCTCCCTCTATTCCCAACCCCTCCTCCCCGAGCCACGCACAGGGCAGAGGCCAGTGCAGAACTCAGACCCCAGAGCTCCACTCAGAGGGGACCCCGCAGTGCTCCCAGGTGATTCTGGTCCTGAGTGCGCAGCTCCCCAGGGTGTCCCAAGCTACATGTATACTATCATCTCCCCTTGCCTCTAGACTGCAGAGGAGATGCTGTGGGTCCTGAACCCCATTCACGCAGGCTGCACTGGCTGGAGGAGTTGGAAATGTCTGGAACTGAATCTTAACTCATTGACTAGCTGGGTGACATTGACCTGAATCTCCCTGAATTTCAGTTTCCTCGTCTGGAAGATGAAGATAGTAATTTCAGTTTCCTCGTCCGCCCTGACAGGGTGGTTGGTGTCCTTTTCCCCCTTCACTCATTCAGCCAACACTTATGGCGTATCTACCATGTCCCAAGGGCTCTGCTGTGGGGTAGAGACTTTATCTGGAGAATCTCGGGAGAAATAAAAATAGAACAGGGCTTCCCTGGTGGCGCAGTGGTTGAGAGTCCGCCTGCTGATGCAGGGGACACGGGTTCGTGCCCCGGTCTGGGAAGATCCCACGTGCCGCGGAACGGCTGGGCCTGTGAGCCATGGCCACTAAGCCTGCACGTCCGGAGACCGTGCTCCACAAAGGGAGAGGCCACAACAGTGAGAGGCCCGCGTACCGCAAAAAAAAAAAAAAAAAAAAAATAGAACAGAGACCGTGTGGGCGTGAGGTATTCAACCTCCCTCAGGTTTCTGTTTCCCAAACTGGACAAAACAGGGCAATGCTGTACTTCCCAGGACTTTGTGTATTTAAAAATAAAATGCACCCAATGATGGAGACTGAATCCCAGCAAATAAATAAAATAAGATAAAATGTAGCAGAATGCCTGACACAGGGTAGATGCTCAATTAATGTTCGTAGCAACTCTCTGAAAATATAAAATGCAGTCTCTAGCTCCCACTTTGTTCTTTATGTTCCTTAGCTCCCTTGACAATCATCAGGAAGAAATGGGGTGTTTTGTTACACAGAATGACTATCGAAAACTGACTGTTACTAAATTAATTCGGTCATACCTGGAATATGGCTGAAGAGTCAATTAATTTGACTTATTCCATTTATCAAACTATGTCTCAAGTTTCCTCATCTGTGAAATGGATGAGTTGAGAGGAATTAAATGAATTCGTTTCGAAAGGGATGAGGCATAAAATAGGTGCTACGTGTCAGCGATTATTATCATAAATGCCCCTCCGTGAGTGTGGCAATGTCCCAGCACTGGGTGATGGCCGTAGATAACAGCCAAGGTCCCTGTTCCCTTAGAGATTATGTTCCAGAGGCAGTGAGAGAGACACCAGACAAATAAATGAGCAAAGACCATTTCTGATGGTGATAAGTGCTGTGAAGACAATACAACAGGGCAATGAAACAAGGAGTGACGGGAGGATGGAAGGCCTCTTGGGGGAGGTGAAATTTCATTTGAGACTTGACAAGAAGGAGCCCACCACATGGAGATCCACGGGGATGTGTGCTCCAAGAGTGCAACGGCCACCGCCCGAGTCCCACGGTGGGAATGTTTGAGGGACGTGCCTAGTGGGCAGGGTGATATGAGATGCGGTTGGCAGAGAAAGAAGGCTCCTCAGGAAACAAAGATTTCACTTCCCCTTTGCCTCCCAACCTCCAACTGCCCATCTTTTGGCAACACGGTACCCAAGGTGGCCACGCCCCATGTCTGAAATTCTGTGACAGCTCAGAGGGCCTGGACTTCCCTTGCTTTCCCTCTGTTTTACTCCCCTCAGATTCCCAGTGGTTCCTCCCACTTTCACACGGACACCTTGAAAGATTTATACCCAATTCCTCCTGGAAACATAATATAACCTGTGAAAGGCTGATCAAACAGGGTTGCTATTTAGGCTCTGGGCCTCGATAGGGGCCGTAAAATATCTTGTGCCTCTTTTAATATAAACGCTGCTACAAAAGACTGCCTTGATCTGCAGCCTTCACAATAAAATACTGTTGGACAAGCTAATCCTGGCTCCCCGTCCCTTTCTGGTTCACACCTAACATCTGGTCAGCTGAATAACCCTTTTGTTCCCAACCGAGTCCGGTTCTGGTGAGTGGGAACCAGGCTGGGATTTTTTTCTGCTTTTTGTAGGCCATTATCAGGGACCCCTTGACCTGCATGCTAAGACCCTTGTTCATTTTTTACCAGGACACTGGGCTCTGTTTGTTGCTACAAGAGCATTAAAAATAATTTGAAAGTAATCTTCAAGAGAATAATGGTTCCCATTTTTGAGAGCCAGTCAGGACCAGGCATTTTACACACATTACTTCATTTGGTGCTCTTATTGGCCCCACAGAACGGGTGCTGAAGCTTTTATTTTTCAGATGAGGAAAGGAGAAGATGGGGCACAAAGAAATGAAACGCTTGGCCTGGGCTCACAGGTCAGTAAAGAGAGGGGCCGGGGATTAGGACTAAATCCACCGTGCCCTAAAGCCAATACCACACGGCAGCTCGAGAAAGGAGAACATGGCCAGGACGGAGGCGTCTGTGGTAGGCAGAACGATGGCCCCCCAAAGAGTCCACGCCCTCATCCTGGGACCTGTGAATGTGTGACCTCAGGTGGCAAAAAGAGACTCTGCTGATGTAAGGACCTTGAGTTGGAAAGATTATCCTGGATTATTCAGCTGATAATCACATGGGTCCTTAGAAGATGGAGGCAGGAGGCTTAGAGTCAGAGCAGATGTGACAGCAGAAGCAGAGGTTGGAATGATGCGGCCACCAGCCAAGGAATGCAGGCAGCCTCTAGAAGCTGGGAAACGCAAGGAACAGATTGTCCCCTAGATTCTCCAGAAGGGACTCAGAGTTGCTGACAACTTGATTTTAGCCCCATCAGACCCATTTCAGAATGTAAAATAATACATCTGTATTGTTTTAAGCCCCTAATTTGTGATAATTCGGGACAGCAAGCTAGTACACCATCCACAAACCAAAGGCCGGTCGGTCTCGTGCCCAAATGAGATAATGGCTCAAAAATCAAACTGATGTAGCAACAGGAATCACTGAGCAGTTTCCCTCTTGTGCAGACAACACCACCCACGATGACAGGTTGAGATGTGTGAGGGTACAGGATGTGAGCCCCGCCGCCGGAGGCAGAGCTGGGCTTGAGCCTGCACCCCGACCCGCACTAACGTACACGTGACCCTGAGCCAGCCCCCAAGCCTCTGAGCCCGAGTTCCAGATCCACCTCCACCATAAAGTTCTTTAAGGCATTAACAGTAATTAACATCACCAAGCGCTTACAGCTTGCCAGATAGCGTGCTACGTACAGAACACATATTATCCCACTTCAACCTCAGAACAACCCTGTAAGAGGTGTGATGTTATGAATGTCACGCTACAGGAGAGGAAGCCGAGGCCCAGAGCAGTAACTTGCTCAGTCAAGTACATGGCTTAGGGCCAGGAGCCTGACCTCAGAGCCGGCAGTTCTTCAATCGCTGCTAACGCAGAGCAGTTGTTGCCCTTAGTATTATTACTGCTACTATGACTCCTGGCCCCAGTCAACTTCTTGGATCCTGAAGGTAGTAATGCATCCTACTGATACTACAGAGCAAAGAGAAAAAGAGAGAAAAACACAGATTGGAAAGCCAGAACTCTGCATCATCCAGGTGGAAAAGGGCCAGGCTCCATGCGAGGCAATTTGAGACCCTGCTTCATGTTATACAGGAAGCAGTGAACAGCTCCCACCGAGGAGCTGAAATAATCGATGTCTATTATCGTTTCTTAATTAGATCTACCTCAGTGGTAAATGGTTCTGTTTCATTCATAATGATGATCATCATCAGGCATTTCTCATTCAATTTTAAAAGTATTTCTTGACAATCTTTTTGGCCAGAATGTTCAATATACATAACATGAGAGTGATCGCCACTAAAAACGTACGCTATTATAATAGAGGTAAGATTTACCTAAGCAAAGTATAGTTTAAAATACATCTTGAGAGCTATACAGCACCTTCCTTCAGAAAAATGCAAAGTATTTTTTATTTTACTTTTCAAGTTACTGTATACTGAGACTTGATGTCGTGCCTGGCACTTTATATACATTAGCATATTTAATGTGTTAAATGTTATTAGCCCCCAAAAACTAAGGCTCAGAGAGGTGATGTGGCTTGCCCAGGTCACACAGCATTCGAGATCGAAAAACCATACTTTTCAATGTGCATCCTTTCATACTATGCACAAGTATGAAGACGAGGGCATTATAGTGTAGATGGGGAAACCAATAAGAGAAAAATCTGCACGACTCTCAAGCCAGGGGGGCAAAGAAAATGTTCCAGTTTGCTAGCAAAGACTGAGGTCCCTCAGGTAACAGGAAAAGCCATTCAACATTCAATTAATTCTATAAAACATTTATGGAACTCTGTGCCTCCTAGGAACTGTTGCAGACATTTAATGAGGGGCTCAAATCCAGCTGTTGAACTCCAAGGGCTTAGGTTCGAATTCCAGAAGTTACTGAAACTCTTTGGGCCTCATTTCTTTTTTTTTTTTTCTTTTAACAGCTTTATTGGAGTATAATTGCTTCACAATGGTGCGTTAGTTTCTGCTTTATAACAAAGTGAATCAGCTATACATATACATATATCCCTATATCTCCTCCCTCTTGCGTCTCCCACCCACCCTCCCTATCCCACCCCTTTCTTTCCTCATTTGTAAAATGGGAATCGTAACAGGACCTACATCATTAGGACGGGAGGATGGAAAGTAAAGTGCTGAGGACAGTGTCTGGCAGAGCCAGGGTGATGGAAGAGTGATTGTACTATAGAAATATTAGCTCTTGTAGGATTTATGATCTGGTTCCTGCCCACTGTGACAGACAACTGAGAGGGACGATGCAGCATTTTCATGAAAGGTTAGGAGTTTCAGGCACACCAAGTTAGAATTTACCCGAAAATCTTTTAACTAATAGAACAGTTCTGATTTGCTTAGATATTGATGAACTTCCTCCCCAAATGTGCCAGTAAGAAACTGCTGAGGGACAGCAGCCTGCAATGCACAGCCTTACCTGTGCTGGAAACTGAAGAAAAATTAGGCTCAGAGGAGCAAACTGACTAAAACTAACTGCAAGCCCTTCACTACAGGCTGGGGAGAGCTGACAGCAGAGAAAATCCAAGCAGCAGTAAAGACACAGGCAGGGAAGAAAGAAGCCACCAGTGTTTGTGAAGTAGCCGCAAACTGTACACATGCTGTTTCTTCACTGTTCATCCAACGTGGATTGAGGTAAACCATGTGTCACACGACTGACTACTTTTAATCTTTTAGCAGCCTTGCCGGGGGGACGTTCTAACAGACTCAGAGAGATTAAGGAACTTGTCCAAGGTCACACAGCAACAAATTCCAAGAAGTCGAGGCATAAAAGGCCAGCACATTAGAAGAATACACTAAATGTAAAATGAGCAGTCTAGGGACCTCCCTGGCGGCCCAGTGGTTAAGACTTCACCTTCCAAGGCAGGGGGTGCGGGTTCGATCCCTGGTCAGGGAGCTAAGATCCCATGTGCCTCAGGGCCAAAAAACCAAAACATAAAACAGAAGCAGTATTGTAACAAACTTAATGAAGACTTTAAAAGTAAAATAAACCAAAGTGAGCGGTCTCGGAAAGTCTCATTGTGTGACGTAGGTTCCAATAGTGACTACAATGCCGTGATGATAATCACCGTAAAAATGGCTACTATTTAGACAGTGCTTGCTATGCCCCAGGTGGCACTCAAAGGATTGCACTTGTGTGAATTCATTCAACCCTCACAACAGGCCTATGGGTAGGGACTATGATTATTATTCCCATTTCACAGGTGAAGAAACAGGTCCAAAGAGGTTAAGTAATCTGTCAAACAGCTGGAAATAGACACCACCAGATGTTTATTCTTGAGAAAATGCTTTAGGCACATCTTTGAAAACCTCCTCAAGTCAGTGTTAATCCATGTAACGAACCTTTCCATGAAGAGGTGACCTGCACTGAGTGCGCCCCCCTCCCAAACATATCCACGTCCAAATTCTTGCAACCTCTGAATGATCTGGAAAAAGGCTCTTTGCGATGCGATAAAGTTAAGGCCCTTGAGATGAGACCATCCTTGATCACCAGAGTGAACCGTAAACCAATGATAAATGTCTTTGCAAGAGACAGAGGAGGAGGTGGCAACGAGAGGATGAACAGAGATGAAGCCCCGGGTCCCGGGCAGCCAGGAGCCACCGGCAGTTGGGAAAGGTAAAGTGAATTCTCCCCTAAAGCCTCCAGAGGGAGCACAGTTCTGGCCTCCAGACCTGACAGAGAACACATTTCGGTTGTTTGAAGCCACCTGGTTTCTGGTGGCTCGTCACGGCAGCCTGAGGCAGGCAGCCGGGAAGGTAAGACTCAGCGTCAGGAGTTGAGGCTCGTGTCCAGGCCTGGGTGTCTGGGTGGACGCAGTGGAGGGGATGGCGCTGAGTGAGTGGCGTGGGCGACCGGGGGAGGCTCACCGTCTGGAAGCTGCAGGAGGAGACTCGCGGTTGATATAACGAGCCAGCTTTCCAGCCAGGAGAGCTGTGGGCAGCGCGTGCACTCCCAGTCGTGCACGGAGCTGCCCGTCACAGGGGGTCGTCTTGCCCGCTTGGGAGGTTATTCCTCCCGAGGTCTGTTTGGAGGTGGAACGGGTGGGGTCTGACGCCAACCCCACTCACATGTTCTCCCACTGAAGAAGGCCAGGGTCAGGCAGGCGGCGAGCTCGCAGAAACACTTGCTCACAGAATCCACGGACACAAGTCGCACGGTATCTCATAAAGTGTTTTTCCTTTAAAGTTTTTCGTTCACTGTAGTATTTTAGCAGAACGTGCCAGGAGGCAGAAAGCAACAACCTTTCTGTTCTCCATTTCTGGAGCTAGGTGGCTCTTCCCCGCCCTTCTCCGCATGGTCACCTGCAGTAAGATAGCTGGACAGCGGGGACAGCGCAGAGTTGGACATGTCACACCTGTGAGCTGTTACTCCATGTGCTAGAGCCAACCTTGGAAACTGTTCCACGGCCCCCTTATTCCTGCAGTTTCCATCCCACTGTGTGGACCAGATGGACCTCGGGGAGCCTGTAGGTGCCACGCACGTGCCTGTTCACCGTCCATTGGAAACAACGGCCCTTGTACCACCCTGGCAGTCTCACAGTCAAGATCCAAAACCTGGGCTGCCCTAAATTGTATCAAAATATCTCGAATCAGAGCAGAAATCTTAGCATTCTTTCCTCCAAGGCTGATAGTTAAAATACTATTTTCTAACCAGTATGATATGGTGTCCCTGACCAATCAGAAGAGATGCTGGCGGTGACCCCAGTTACAGGGAGGAAAGCGCTGAGTCACTGCCCGGTTGGCCAGCTTCAGGGTTCCCGCTGCCACACACCTATAAGGGACACAGGGGGCGTCCTCTGGGCTGTTGAAAAGACTCCGCTTACTTTGTGCAATAGGGAAGAAAGAGAGGAGAGAGAAGTGAACAAAACTGTTCGAGTGAAATATCTAAATATCAAGTCATAAGTTAAAGGGAACCTTTCTGGAAGTAAAGGAGTCTTCCGGAAACAAATTATCACCTTGCTGGTAACAGTGGCCCTTTCTCCATGACCACTGTTCCCTGGAGTTGAATAGGATACTGTTCTGGCTCTTAATTTGCTGCCAGACCCTCGGGGGAAGGAAGCCGATGAGTAAATCACTGATTACAGTCCAGTCTAATAAGTGCTTCTGTGATGAAAATCATGATAATAATAATAATGATAGGTGGTCAAACAGTCTAAATATTTTATATGGATCGTCTCACTGAATATTCCTAACCACCCACGAAATAGGGGCTAATAATGGCTCCACTCTGCAAATGAGGAAACCAAGGCAGAACAAATCACTTGCAGAGTCAAGATGTCAATCAAGCAGCCTGGCTCTGACCTGACCCCGCCCCCCCTGCATCCCTTGGTTAGGCTCCCGGCAAGACAAAACTGTAGTACCAGATCAGAGTGGAGATCACAGGAGGCTTCCAGGAGGAGGGGCTGCAGAACAATAGACTAGATGTAATGAAGCTACAGAAGAAAGATCACCTGCCCCCACTCCGTGTTAATGAGAAAAGATACGACTTGCCATTTGCCTGTTTTAATTCAAACCTTCCAATCTGGTGATTATCTTTTCATCTCCATACATGGTCTTAGGGCTCACATTTGCCCATCACCTTCAGAAGGCAGGTCAGGAAAACCATTGTTTTTTGGGTAATTCACACATGGGAAATCAAAGTAAGTGAAAAGGAAGAAGCAGAAACACTAAGCCGGGAGTGTGGGGGGTGTGTGTGTGTGCGATCCACGAAGAGGATTGAGTTGGGGACACGGGGGAGATGGAAGCAGTTCGTGGAGGGACATGAATGGAAAAGGGAGGAAGGAGGAAGGACCACTCTGTCCGAGGGAGCAGACGCTACTTGTAGATTTTTTTTTTTTTTTTTTTTTTTTTTTTGGTACGCGGGCCTCTCACTGTTGTGGCCTCTCCCGTTGCGGAGCACAGGCTCCGGACGCGCAGGCCCAGCGGCCATGGCTCACGGGCCCAGCCGCTCCGCGGCATGTGGGATCTTCCTGGACTGGGGCATGAACCCGCGTCCCCTGCATCGGCAGGCGGACTCTCAACCACTGCGCCACCAGGGAAGCCCTGCTTATAGATTTTGAGCCTTGGTTTTGAGCACCGTTTCTGCTGCGGGTCCCCTAGAGAGGGCCTCCCTTACCATCTCAAGGACAGAGGGTAGTCAGCAGACCACGGGACTTTCTGTGGACTGTTCCAGCTAAAGTGCACCTGGGGAAGGGACACCCTTCTCCTTCCTCTTCCTATCAGGTGAGTAAGACCTTCAGGAAGCTGAGTGGAGAGTCCAGACTCTTCCAAGTTCTTGGCAAACTGCTGCTGCTGTCCAGCTATCGGCTTGCTCAGGTTTGAGGTAAGGAGGGAGGGAGAGAGTTAGATTTATCGAGTGCCTCTTGCTACGGAAGAGGGTGTGTGTGTGTGTGTGTGTGTGTGTTTGTGTGTGTGGGGGGGGGTGGGGTGGGTGTGTGTGTGGTGGGTGTGGGTGTGGGTGTTTTCTCTCTCAACCACGATTGGTTTCATCAAGCCCTTTCTAAGTACTCGGCACTAGCACTCCGTGCATTAACCCAGTTAGTTCTCACTCCCTTTTGAGGATTCCCTGTTATTCCGAACTTAAAGTTAACTCACAAAATAGAGAGGCCTAGACCACGGCATGAGGAAGTGGCAGAGCTGGGATTTGAACCCAGGTTGTCTTGGCTTCTAGAGCAGTAAGGTAGGCGCTGTTATCATACCCTTTTTACGCATGAAAAACAGAAGTTCTGGAGAAGCTGAGAACTGTGCCCAGGGTCACAGTGTTCTTTGGCAGAGCATGGCTTGATCTCAGGGTCAACCTGGATGCTTTCAAAGATCAGGCATGCTCCCTGACCTCCAAGGTTGCTGTCACATGTGCTGGAAACCCTCGCAGTCCGGCGTGGAAACGGGGAGCAGTCTGCAAACGGGAGTCTGGCCTGGACCGGGGAGGCGCCTAGTGAATGTTTATGGCCAGTCTGCATGAAGAATGAACAAAAAACCTCAGCTAATGCACCCAGGTCTGGAGGCTGCATTCAGAATCCAGCCTCGGGGGCAGCGGAAGGACCCAGAAGCATCCTTTTCAGAGAGAGAGAGAGAAAAAAAAAATCACTTGCACCATTTCTGAAAGCCGGAGGGGGAAAGGATTCAAAACAAGCAAAGTTCTCCAAATAGCGATAAATACCTTAAATTACCCAGCAAGTTTAAAAGCCTTCATACTGCTCTTTCTCCCAGAACAGGAACAGGCTCCTGATTGTGGCTGTTTAGAATGGAACATTCAGGAGGGTGTGGAGCCAGAGGGGCAGGAGAAGTGGGGAGGGCGGAGGGGGGAGGGGGGAGGGGGGAGGAAAAGGCTCCGGTGCCCAGGAACACTCAGCCCAGCTGGCTGGCAGGAGACAGCGGCAATTGTACAGGTTTGCTGCTTGCAAAGGGCTGTGCGCCTAAGGCGCACTGGAGCTGGGGACCCCCCTGGATCCTGGGGGAAGTCAACCTCGCTCGTGAAAACGGAAGAGAGAAATGGCAGGGCTGCCAGGGCTGCTTGAGGATGCCTTCATTTCTGAAACCCAGCGTTGCCTGGGGCTTCTCTGTTCTTACAGGAAGACAACTGTACTGGTTCCAAAATAGAGAGAGGACAGTTCATGGAGGGCTAGAAATCCCCACAATCCACCACCCTCTGAAAAGCGCAGGTTTGGGGTCAGCTTCTGCCTCTTCTGCCATGACCCATACTTCTCCGGGGGCCGCTGCCATCAGACTGGTACGAATTACTGCCGACCACCCCAGGCGCACAGTAAATGTTCATAGGCAAGATACCGGGAAGGACCTGGGACGCCTCTTCCCTGATCACCACACAGCTGATCTCTAGCCCCAGATAAGATACACATCACTACGGAGAATGTATGCTGCCCCTACTCGTGTGGTCAGCTGCTGCTCCTGGACTAGGCAACCACAGGCCATCTAGCGGGACCCACTAGCTCAGCTGACAGCTCATCGTGAGCTCGGCATCTTGGGAGTAGGTTCAAACACCTGTGACCTTACAGCAGTTACATAAATGCTCTGTGTCTTCGTCTCCACATATGTAAAGTGTGGGTAATAACAGTACCTACCACCTAGGGTTGTTATGAAGATTAAGTGATTTAATATGTATAAAGTGCTTACCATTTACTGGGGTACTTATAAGACTGACATATATTATCTCATTGAATCCCTATATGACCTTATGAGGGGTGCTAACATTGTCCTCTTTTCTTGAGTAAACTGACTTCCAGCAACGTTAAGTCACTGGCTCAAGGTCAATGGCAAATGGTTTTGGGGGGCAGAAGGAGGTGTGCTGGGGTTGGAACCCAAATATTCTGACTCTAGCTTCTATGAGAAGTTATACTGGCTACACTGCCTCCCGAAGAGAACACCCCATGAATCCAGCTCTTTTAGAATCAGTACTTTCAACTGTGGCTGAACACGCAAATTATCTCTGGGGATTTAAAAAAATATGAACTCCTGGGCCCTCACCTCCAGAGATTCTGATTCAGTAGGTCTGGGCATCTCAAGTGGTGGAAAGGCCCTCCAGGCAATTTGGATGTGTGACAATAACCAATATCACCTGGGCCCTCAGGCAGCGCTAAGAAGCTGACACACCTCCTTCAATCCTCACAACCTTTAAGGGTAGGACCATTACTACCCCTGCTTTACAGATGAGGAAATTGAGGCCCAGGGGAGTTCATGGATGCCCAAGGAGATAAATGAGTATAGGAAGCAGAGGCTGGATGAATGCTAGAGTCCCTTCTAGTTTCAACATCCTGCTCTGTATGGAGACATGGATAAACAGGTCAGGGCCACTGTCCCACGGTGCCCTGTCTCCACTGGGCCCCTTCTCAACAAAGGACGAAATTCTGTCCTTGATTGAGATGCAAGATAAGGGCTGGCATGAAACTCCAAGGGCCAGAGTTTTTGAGAGCATATGTGTTACTACCATATAACATTTATCTAGAGCTAGACCCATGTTCTAGCAAAACCTGTGGAAGACACAGCCTAGGTGTGCAATCTGAGAGCTGGAGGACCCATGGGAGATAGAACACCAAGTCGTGGGGGCTGAGGCTACATGACTCACATTTTATTACACAAATAGTGGCCAGGGGCTTCCCTGGTGGCGCAGTGGTTGAGAGTCCGCCTGCCGATGCAGGGGACACGGGTTCGTGACCCGGTCCGGGAAGATCCCACATGCCGCGGAGCGGCTGGGCCCGTGAGCCATGGCCACTGAGGCTGCACGTCCGGAGCCTGTACTCCGCAACGGGAGAGTCCACAACAGTGAGAGGCTCGGGGACCGCAAAAAAAAAAAAAAAAAAAAAAAGTGACCAGGGAGGTGGACACCTGCAGACCTCCGTGGCACCAAGATGCTGTCAACATTTTATGAGAGAGGCTAGAAGAACCTTAATGTTTGCAGTCAACAGTTCAAGTCAAATGACTATTAAGAACCGGAGTCCCTGCTGGACCAAATGCACTAAACCGAACGATTCTTGCAGACAAGTCAGGACCACTTGCCTCTCAAAATACAGTTGCATCATTTAGTGCAAGTTCTGTAAATGGAAATGGCTATGTTCATTAAGTAACCATCAGGTTAATGGAATGTTTCATTCAACAAGTATTTTTAAGGCACCTACTTTTTGCCAGGCAGGAGGAATATGACTGAGAGTCCTTGCCAGCTACCCTTGGCATAGTTTTGGAGAACAGGATGGGGCAGCAACTTATCGTTCTGGGCTCTCTCCAGACCCCACCACATACAGGACCGTAGAACTGTGGACACGGTGGTTATCACACCACTCCTCACCCCTCTGACCCCAACCTACCTCAACACATCGGATGCTCCTATCTGCGCCTCCTTCTCTCCCTTCCCTCTCCTCCTCCTTTTCCTTTCTTTCCTTCTTTGTTTAATCAAGAAACATTTGTTGGCCATCCATTGTATTGCACAGCAAAATCTGTATTTCAGGCGTGATGAGCCTTGAATACTGAATTTGGATACCAGTGTAGCAAGGTGCCCCTATTATTCCATCCCATTTTATTTGTCCGTAATCACACCCTCTAGAATGCAACATGCAGACAGATGAAAATGGTTGCAAAAATGCAGAGTCCCAAGAACAACAGAAGGAAATTGGATGGTCTCATCTTAATAAAATCTCGCTTTGGCAAGGCAGAACTCAAGGCAGAGGGGGCTGCAGGAGGCTGCCCATGTTTCACAATAGCCCCTGGTCTTCTGTATTGCACTTCGGATAAAAGAAACCCAAAACTTCTTTTATTAAATTCCTCTATTCTTGCCTCCATCCAAAGTTCAATCGTTTTGGAAAGTAGTTCAGGTGTTTTTCAGTGAGAAAGAAGCTACACTTGCCACAATTTCATAATACAAAATATATGTTTAACCCCTACTTAAACAGAACTTGAAACTGGTAGCTATTTAAAGTACCCCAATGTCAGTTCTACATATGTTGGTCTAAATATGCTAAGAAAGAAGGGAGGAAGGAAGGATGGAAGGAAACAACGAAGGGGGGAAAAACACATAAAGCGGATATTTGCTCTGTATCCGGAGAAAAATTATAAGTTTTTGTTTCAAATTTACAAGT